GCTAGAGCAGCAGAGAGCACAGCCTGCTCAATTCGGGCAGGATCGCCTCAAATGTCGCCATCTCCTGGCGACTGTGGAGCGACGGGCCTGTGGCAGCGTCAAGGCAGAAGCAAGAGGAGGAGGATTCAGGGTGCAGGAGGCTCGAGCATGTGCTCCTGATACAAACTGGATTAAATCTGCTGCAGTGCTCGCTCTAAAATGCTTGGAAACCAAGTCTAGAAAATGACCAATATTTGTTCTCAGAAACATAAACAGCACATGGATTTTGACAAGACCAACTACTCACTTTTTCAAACTCTTCTTTCTGCTCAGCAGTCTCGTTCTGGCTTAAACTTCCCTGAATTGCTTGAAGTTTAAACAACATTCTCTTCAAAGCTTCGAGGGGTCTGTCATGGTGATGTCCAGAAAAAGCAACGTCCTAAAGCAAAACCCAAAGAATTGGTTCATACCACAGCACACATAAAACAACTTTGGAAGTTTCCCTGAAGAATTGAAAGGCTAGTTACCAGGAGTATTTCCCTCTACCTGTTTTTTTTTAGAATCTATTTGTAAATTGTATGTCTTCTGGTTCATCTTAACGTATGGTCAGTGAAATCACTGGAGAAATATTGTTAGGAAAATGCGAAGCAACACAGGAAGGCCTCAGCCCTAGTTTGTGTAAAATAATTCAAGAATATGAAGACTGTCAGTCTGTGTAATGCTATGACAGGTTTCAATATTCTGTAGCTGACAGAACAAGTAAGCTTCCTTAATGATAAACATAGATTTATTCAGATAATTAGCACCTATGTATCGGCTCATTGTATAATAAAAAAGCAAACTCACTCGCAGTGACAAAAAATCGTGGATGATTTAGAAATACTTATGTCTAGAAAGGTGTGATGATCTAGCAGAACCAAGAGAACAAGGAAGCATGAAGGGTGAAATACAGCGAAGCAGCGTTCATCAGATGGGATGATTTGAGTTACTTGTGGAAGTGCTGGGGTGGAAAAACTTAGAGGGCAACGCTCCGTTTACTCCAGGATGGGAAAAAGAGAATCTTAGAGCGGTTAAGATTCAAGGAGAATAAGGCAGAAGGTAAAGGAGCATCCCAGTACATAAATTAACAGCGAGTCTTTTGACTACAATACCAGGCTCAGTGCTCATCTCCCTAGCTGAGAAAAGGATAAAGGGTTCATATAATTAAAATGAAAGACTGAGCAATATTAAGACTGCCAAGAAGGTGATTAATATGTAGGACTGGGAATACAATAATGAATAATCAAAAGAGTAAATTCAATCCACGATCCAATTCTAGTGCAACAGCATTAATAATAAGAAATATATTACTTAACTCTTGAACTTGCCTCGTAGCCAACAGTACATCAGCCAGGCTAGGAAATTCGTGGTATTTAATACATCAATAACAAAGAAACTTCTTCCTTTACTCGAGCCAGGAAAATTATTATTTCAACAAAATATGGAGTGTAAAAGTCAAACTATTACTAAACAAAGCATTTCATAGTTAGATGCTTTCTTAATCATAATTGTGACCAAGGGTAAGATTATAGGATTTAAGAACTGTACGAATTGATCATGCTCAAATATGGTTAACCTACTGTAAACTTTCCACTTTATATATTATAAAACGCAGAAAAAACAAATTTATAGGTATTCCCCTTCTTATATTTACCAGTTATATAAATTTGGGCCCTCTCAGAAATAAATACTCAATTTTACTGACCTTATTTTTGTCATTTAAACAGTCTTCCAAGAACTTCTGTATGATATCTGCCCTGGGGAGTGGTGGAGCGTTCTCCATATCCTCACAGCACACAGGCCCTGGCGGTTTGCTAAACCAACATTAAACATGCAACGGAGAATAAGAACAGGTTTATAAACCAAAAGGATTGGTTTAGGATATAGGGAAGGTAAGGACTTCTTAACTATAATGTATTACCCGATATTTCTCCATTAATACTCAACTTCTACAGAAAAATAGTTACCTTCTGCTGGTTGACCTCTAATTCTTCTACAGCCTCTAAGGTATTTTAATTCAAAACTCTTAGTCTCAGAATCATTAATGGAGCCTGATTTCCAGGGCTGGTCTCCTGTGTGGGTATTCCGGTGGCTAGCAGGAGGTTAGCCCATTAGCCTCTCTCCCAACAGGACCACGAATAGTACTGCTTCTAGTTTGAGACTTCTACTCGCTTGTTAAATATTGCTAAAACGAACCAAGAGTTCAACGTCCTCTGGGGTAAACTGACAAACACCCAGAACCACACACACACACACACACACACACACGAGAATTTCCTATAGTTTTTCAGCAGCACTGATTTTTTAGCATTCTTCGATCCTATGAAATAACCTTTCAATTCTTCCACAACTGAAATTTCGCTCCTAAGACTGCTCCAAAACTTCTCAAAGGCACACTGCTTTTTGTAAAAAAAAAAAAAACAAAAAAACCCCAACAAAAACCAAACCAACCCAACTTTCCACTATTAACTTGGTTTTCATAAGCTATTAATCATAAACTAGTAAAACTGTCAGTTTAAGTTTCATTAAGTAATTTTTGTCTTGAAATAAGTATTTTTTATAGATCACTGATATACAAAGATATTAAAAGGCAGCAATAATATTGAGAAGACTCTTTGCAAGTCAATGAAAAAGGGACCAGCATCCTGACCTTGAAATACCAAATATTTAGCAGTAGCAAGAAATTTAATACTAAATCCTTTCTTTATGTACAAGTCACAGCACCACGACTTATAATCTATATAAAAAAGCAATTAAATACATCACACGTTAGCCCCAAATATATGTTTACTTACAAAACACCCGGAGCGTTTTCCCACGATCTTTCTGCTCCTAGTATATCTGTTGTAGAAGGACTGCCATCATTTTCCAGATTATTTGAAAAATCTTTGGTTGAGCTCTCCAGACCTCTGTCAGCCTTCGAGATAAGCAGCTCAAGCTGGTCTTCTAAAAAACAAAACCCCAAAAAAACAGGACACAATGCGTCCAAAGGCATTATTTCCATATTACTTTGAATTGTAGGCAACCCTCAGAGAAAATGACTCCAGATGAATTAGCATTGGAAATATTTTACAGAGAGTATAGCTCCAGTACAACTCCTCTGGTTGCTGCGGTATGGCAGTAGGGAATTAATTCATCAGTATCAAATGGGATCTGCAACGTTCTAGCCAGGAAAGTATTTGAGGTAGTCAAGAGTTTCTTAACTAAAACAACTATAGTATGCAGCATTCAAGATTATTTAATGCTTTTAAGGTACTTCCATGCTCTAGAAAGTATAATAATAGTGCACAATACAATGTTAAATATTACTTATTAATATTCTAAGTTCTTAGGTTAGTTTTCTTATTTCATATGGATTTTTCTAATAGCTGCTTTTACAGACACCTGGGAGAGAAACCACACAACCTATAGATGCAAATCACATATATAATCACAACCACGACCCGTATTTAAAACCAGGTTGAGACAAGCACTCAAAATGACAGACACATTCTCACATATTTCTTTATACCTAGCCTGTTCCCGATCGGTAAAACGTTCTGTGTGAAAAGAAAGATGTAAGCCTGCACACGCATTAGAAAGGTTATTTGCAGACATTTTTATATCCGATGTTTTTATCTTGCTGGTATTTCACAATACCAAGCTCACCACAGCAGGACCTCCTGCTTCTGAGGAGCAAAAGTAGCACCATGGGCCATTCCCAAGGGAAGTTTTTCCATCAACTGAAGGCCCTGGATAGCCTAAATATATGGGTTACAAATATCTCCCGCTGACTGCGTAGAGAAAAAAGGCTGCACAATAAATGGTATTTTTTACCAGTTTGACAGGCTCGTTTACACAATGTTTAGCAGTCTCCCTCCCTCAAGGTTACACTTCATGTAATTTAATTTAATGCTTGAAATTCTATTAAAATATTTATGGAATTACTGTCATTATCTTGCAGTCAGGTACTAAATATGCCACCGTAATAAATACTTTGCTGTAAAAGGAATGCTTAAATATTGATTTATATATGAAAACTTACAGTATAAAAGCTGTTTAACTTCATCAACTACTAGTAAGTGCTTTGAGTCATTTGTCAAAGATGGAAGTGAATAAATACGGCACAGTGCGGTCAGACTAACATAGCTAGAGAGTGTTGGCTTAAAAAATGTAAATGTCTATACACACACACCTTCAAAATGAAAAAAACCCAATTGTATGAAATATCCTTACCTCTGGACAGCTTTTGAGTGTGCCTGGAAATTGAGTTTTCACATGGGGACCATACATCTGGACTGCTACAGTTGCAACTTTCTTCTGCTTTTTCACAACCTCTCGCATCCAGGCAAGTATTTTGCTCAAAAAAATTAGAATTGTCTTCATCTACAGAGTGTCTTTTTTTCAGGATCTCTAAAGCTTGTGAAGAGGAAGCTTTGCCTTGTATATGAAAATTTTGACCACTGGTTGCTTTAGTTGAATCAGAAAAAAGGTTGTAACTCTTAAGCCAGACTGGATAGTGAAAATTGGGAATACTACTTATCCCTGAAACACTTAAGTCGGATTTCTGACAAGTAAGCCATCTTGGATAATTTTTAAAAGCGTTAGAGTTCTCTTCAAAAGACAAGGGCTTTGAACTTCCTTCAGAGGAGGCAGAATTGCACCTATCAGGTGTATAGACATTACATTTCTTTTTGCTGAAGTCTTTGCGTGGATTCTGGGCAGCAACACCTTTCCCATTCTCCAGGAGACTGAAACCACTTTCAGTCTCGAGTGATGAGGTTTGGTAGGGGCAGGAAGATGCTTTCAGGGACCGTCTGTTCCACTCACTACTTGGATGCCTCGATTTAGAAGGACTAGGCTGGACAAAGGGCAGTGATCCATCTGCTGGGAATGCTAACAGATCATCTGTCGCCAGGCTAATCAAGTCCGGGTCACACTCAATCTGCCTTCCAGAGGGTGAAGCGAGAGAACCCAATCCTACGGGCTGATTAAAATCCTCTGGCGCTGAAAACCAAAGATATTTTACATGAATTGCTAAACCTTAAGCACACCAAAAAGATACATTTGTAAGATTTAACATGAAGTAATAGTTTGAAGCTGAAATATATTCTTTACCCAGGGGGTACGGAATCACCGTTCTTGCAGGAGTGGTTCTGTTTCTAATCAGAATCTCGCTAAAAAGTCAAAAGCTACCCCCTCCTTTCATTGTACACAATAATTAAATACTCAAAGCTGTAAATATTTAAAGAGAAACAAGAAATCAACATTCTACAGCCCGTTTTTAGTTTCACATTCAGAACTGTATTTTGCAGACGCGTCCTTAGAACTGCAGTCCTAGTAGTGACACTTCCTCCACACCCCAGTGTTAGACGTGACTTTCCCCACATTCAAACCAGGCACATTCACTAGAAAAAGAAAAAAAAAGGCTAAAACAAAGAGCTTGCAAGGCAAGTAGCCAGATCATGGGCTTATAGACCCATTTTGTGATTCTACACAAACTTATATACTGCGTAAGATCTGACTTGACAGTTTTTCAGGGAAGAATTCTAGCATTAAATCCTTTTTTTTAACTGAAACTATGAAGCGCTTTGATTTATGAAAAACAGGTTTTCCTCAGCTAATACCTGGAAGTTATTTTTTCTCGCTTGCACTGTAATACCAGTAGGAAAAATCTGTACATTTTAACATACAAAACTTACCTGTGGACAAGCTAAAGTCTGAACAGAGCTAAAGAGACTTCTGCAAAAATACTACAACACAGAAATTTCAGAGTAAAACATCAGGAGATGACATCCTTCACAGAACAGTTTCTCATTTTTAGTGATTGTCAGAATGTTTCTTTTTGTTTGGGGAATCAGTTAAACATAAGTAGAATGTGGTTTATATTAGAAAAATATAAACCAGAAGCTAAACACAGCTAAAAACCAGCTATCCTGGTAAGATAAAGAAAGGTGTGAAGCTAGAGGAAAGTTACAGGTTGAAGAAAATTGTGAAGAAAATGCTGGTTATATGGTGAAGAAAAAAAAAAAAAAGCCCTGAATAATACAATATACTACCATAACTGTCCATGCCAAAGCAGTCCAGGCAAGCATCCTTTTTCAGGTACAAAGTTTGCCTGTTATTTTAGATGTAACGGACAAAGCATTTGCAATATAAATTAGCTCAAGCACAGTTACCTACGCTAGACCTTCTCATAAACTGATTATATGAACTTTTATTTATTCAAGCTAACTAATAATTACAGAAGCCAGTTCAAGCCCACATGTATTAATCAGTTGGGTTAGACTTCAGGCCCAAATGTACATTCCATAAAAATCACGGGATAAGAGGCAAATTTTAAGACAAAGCAGTCTTTAAGGGAACTCTGTCAATTAATTAGATTCTGACTTTACTTACTCTGGAAATGAAACTGAGATTTTTTTTTTTTTTTTTCCCCCAAGGCTCAAGTTTAAGCAGTGATTTTCTTCACATATAGAAAACACAATTTCTATTCCATACTCTTGAATTTATTATTGCATCCGTGAGCTTGGTCACGAAGTCTCACCAATCCACCAAGTATTTATGAAAAAGCACTACAGAGAATGACAAATATTGCTAGCCAGGACCAAGCATCATTTACTATACCATAAAGACTTGCAAGCAGTTGTGCGTGGAATATTCCTTCAACAAAACACACCTGGTGCGAGACAAGGCGTTGCAACACCATCGGCAATGACAGGAAAAGAACAACAAAGACCAAAACTTATTAAACAACATATTTGCAGAGACATACCATGTTTTTCCTTGGCACGATGCTTTGGAAACTTAACTTGTTTGGGAGTGCTTTGATATATGCAGATTTTTCCGGTGCTTATTTCTGAAGAGGTGAGGCTTAAATCAAAATCTTCAATGTAAGCTTCCAAAGCCTCAGATGCAGAGCTGTAAAGCTTGTCCTTGTACTGAATCCAGCTGTCTGAGTATGGATTGTCGCTGTCGATGCTACAGCTTGTTAAAAGAGAAGATACTGTTGAATCAGGAGAGCAGACACTGCTTTCTTTTATTGAGCTTGTCATGGTTTTTAGTTAAGCTTCTGTGGGAATCTTCACTCATCTTTTTAATCAATCTGAATGGAAAAAGAAACAAACACGCAAGTGATCATCTCCACTGAAATGTTTGCCCATAAACTGCAACATATCTAGGAGTTTTTTACTTTTGTTTTGTAATTACTATTTTCCTAAGAATTACTATTTAGCTATTCAACTTGCTGCTTTCCAAATAAGCTTGTCTACACACGTGCCACCCCTAGAAAGCTCAAAGGCAGAAAATAAAGGCTCAAAAAAAAAAAAAAAAAAAAAAGAAACTTTAGTGTAACGAGAACAAAAAAGTCCAGCTCCTCGCTAGTTCTAGAGGAACCTCAGCACCCTCTGCTTTTGCAAGAACAGGATTTCATGTAAGAACTGCTGACATCTGTTGCCAAAAATACAATTTGAAGACACGCAGAAGTAGCGTAACTTTTGATTTCAGAGCCAGAACAAAAGAGTAGTATTCATGGACGAAACCAGAAGTAGCTTAATACAAAAAAAATTAACCAACTCCATGTAACGAGAATAGGAAACCATTACCCTTGCAGATATTTTTCTACAACCAGAACGGGTACACGCAGCGTGAGAATTTTACAAGCCACGTGGGAGCACTTAAAATCATCCTATCCATGCAATTTAATTAACCTAATCCAAGCTGCTTTTGTAGCTTTTGTTACAAGCTTTCGTAACTTGTAACTAAATTGAAGAGTTGGAAGTGCGGGCCTGTTCCAAACGCTGTCAAGGTCACAGGATGGTCAAGGTCATAGAAAGGAACCTAACAGCTCCTTTTATTGCTGTAGGTAAACGGTAATTTGAAAAAATCTGTTACAAGCGCTGTAAGAAGGAACGAAAATTAGTTATTTTGTTACCGTAGAATGGTTTGGGTTAGACTTCAGGCCCAAATGTACATTCCATAAAAATCACGGGATAAGAGGCAAATTTTAAGACAAAGCAGTCTTTAAGGGAACTCTGTCAATTAATTAGATTCTGACTTTACTTACTCTGGAAATGAAACTGAGATTTTTTTTTTTTTTTTCCC